GTAATGGGTCCAGTTATGCGACATTTTGAACTTTGCCGTAAAGCGCCGGTATACAAAAACATATATGTTGTAAAAATTTAGTTACAGTTCTACTAATGAAAACGATGTTAAGTACTCGAAATTATTAGTTAAACTTCGTACAATAACTTACCTTTGTAGCGATAAAATAACTCTTCAATTTCCACCGTAAATATCTTTTTAGAAAATCTACATCTAAAGATAGATTTTCGGTTTTTTACTAGAGTTAAGGTCATCTATTTTTAGCTTTTGAAAAAGTACAGCGTCATGTTTCGCGAGACAATGAAATGTTAACAACTATTATGCATACCCCTCTAGGGTATAATACAGTATATTGCGTCATGCCTAGCGAGTCAATGAAATTATATACGATCAATGTGCACACCCCTCTAAGCGGATATTAATAGGTCACGGTTTATTTTTACATACGGGGATTTCATGTTTTCAACGCTGTTCGGAAGAAATCTTGAATATTTATTTTTTCTGTTAATTCAGTTCTTAATTCTGCAGGGAATTTTCAAGCGATTGGGGAATTTTTAGGACAAAATTGGGGAAAAAAAGAGGCTAGTTTGGTTGGGGAAGTAGCCGATATTCGGCGTCTTTAAAGAAGGGTTTTTTGGCCCTGATATATGTGGTGTTAATTTATTTAATGTGCCAATAGCCTGCCTACACATAATCCAAGTCTACTGTTATATTTTAATCCTCACTTTCACAATGAATTACTTCCATTATAATCAATACAAATTTAGCACAATTTTATGAGGACTCAATGACAAAATTTGAACAAAAACTAAGTTCAAATAAATCATCAATATCTTATTCAAAGATGAACTGTAAGTAGAATATTTCAAAAGGTCGAATATTGTAAAAATATAAGAAAATGTTGAAGTTTTTAAAATGTAAGTAAATAACAAAATGCAGACCTAGAAAAGAACCTTTTCCTCATTACATCCAATGAAAATCTTGTTGATCTTAGAAGTGCCTCTACAAGTTTATGTTTAAAGTGATCAGTAAGTTCTTCACATGCCTCTTTCACAGTTTGTTCTTCGTTAGCTTCTTCTTCTGCAGCAGGAGCAGCACTACCTCCACCTCCTCCAGTCTCACCATAGTTGATAGCGATTGAACCAGATACTGTTGTATCAGCTTGAGAATAAAACATTAGCCTTTTATTATCATTGTAGAAGTTATTCTTATGAATAAAAAGGATTTAAAACCAAAAGTAGATGTTAACCTTACAGACGTCTAGGTAGGCTCATTTCAAAATGCATTCTAAATGATTTCCAGAAAAAATATTTTGAGTTTTTTCTTGCAAGGACAATATTTGCTCAAATAAAGAAAGATCAAATATATGTGGTGTATTATGTTTAAAATATAAAGACTGGAAGTTAATTTAAGATGAATGTGCTGTTTATGATGATTAGTTTAACCAGTTAGATTTATTGTGAGGAGTTCTTCTATTAACAACATATGCAACATTCTAAGCATGCATGCCAGGCCATGATGGCTCACCTGAATATGAATATTCTGCAAGACAAGGAACATGTAATATTGTAAACTATGAATGAAAACAGAAATAAAATCTAAATCTTAAACTTATATCACAAAGTTCATACTTGTATCTGAAATATTGCACTGTAAAAACATTACTGGTTGCCATTGCTTAGGGAAAACAACAGTTCCAAAAGATGTCCCTGTTTGCTATACAAAATAAATGCTTTCCTTGGAAATCAGGAAGGTTGATGGTTACACATTTAAACGGATTCTTTTTCGATTTTCATTTGAAAACGAAAAAATGTACCTGACAGCTTTTGAAGGGAGTAAAAACACCATAGCTTACAATTTTTACTTTGGTTGACCTTTTCCTTCATGAGCATATTGTAAAAAAAAGGCCGTTTTCATTGAAAAGCCTCCTGTTACAAGTTCAAACTGCTATTTAACTATGAAAAATGCTTCAATACTGATGAAACTTGGCACAAATGTTGACTGGAACATAGCCTCTGTAAAAGCATGCTCAATCCTAAATTTCCTGTAACATTGGCAACAGGGTGACGTCTCAAAATTGCCAAAAATCAATTATTTGCATTGTTTTTTTCCATCAAAACTGATTTCAAAGTGCTGCAACTTCTCAATGGATTGAGATAGAGTAAAAGGTTTTTCAGTGTTCAATCTTAAATTTCCTGTAACATTGGCAACAGGGGCATGCTTTTACAGAGGCTCATGTTCCAGTCAACATTTGTGCCAGGAAATCCAAGATTGAGCATGCTTTTACAGAGGCTATGTTCCAGTCAACATTTGTGCCAAGGTTCATCAGTATTGAAGCAGTTTTCATAGTTTCATAGCAGTTTGAACTTGGGTCTTTTGGGGTTTTTTAAAAGAAGATTTTTCAAGATATTTCTTTCTGTGGTCATGGCAACCAGAGTTCTACATTGAATTAAATTTTTTGAACAATTTTAAAGGTGACCGCCAAAGGAACATTCATTTGAAGAGCTTAGCAGTTCATTAGAAGATGTCATTTAAAATAAATGTATACATACAGACAGACAGACGCCAGACAAATTGCGATCACAAAAGCTCACCTTGTCACTTTGTGACAGGTAAACTAAAAATAACCAAACAAGTAACAAAAAATGCCTGTCACATACACTCTCATTATTGTCAAATTTTATGCAAGAATCCCTCAATTAATGATGACTTAATGGTCGTTTCACATATACTTTCCTGACATTTGTGTTTGACCAAGACATTGACCACAGAGTCCTGAATTTGGTGAACATCTGTGCAAAGTAATATTAAAATCTCTAATGCATGTAAAAGTTTTGCTCTAGACAAGTACTTTCTTTTAACTTCAAGTGTGACTTTGACCTTTAAAAAAGATGTGACATTGCATCTCACCATTGGAAATATATCTCTCAAGATATAGTTAAATTCCCTTCAATGCATGTAGTCTAGAAGAAATGCACCACAGGCTCAACTTCATTTCATGGGCAGAATATAATACCTTTGGTTTTTACATGCATGTAAAAAAGCATGTAGGCAAACAAAAAAAATCTGTATTTAAAGAAAACCTTTCCTGAAAAAAAATCTCCTTTCTACAAGTAAAAATGAAAATATTTTGTTCTTCCTACTGACATTAAGTGACTCTAGACTTACATGAATTGGCATCATTGAACGGATCATCAGCGTGAGCCATGCTAATCTGAGCCCTATGCATAAAGATTGTAACAAGTTCTTTCACAGCATCTTCAGCAGTCTGATTCATTTTGTTCAATTCTAGTGCCATTCTTTCACAGTAAGTCTGAAGTAAAATCATGTTACAATATTTGGTATTTTACCGAAATTGTTATATTTTTAAAAAAAGTCTTCATTTTATTATTCCACTCTAAAACATCTAAAACAAGCAATACTCAAAGAATTGCAAGCAATACAAAAGTCCAATACCAGTAGGGCTGTCAATGATGTAAAATTTTGTATCGATATATCAAGAGGCAAATATTGACAATACATTGATATATCGACTTTGGTTTAAACATATTTTATTCCTCACATAAGCATATTTACATACATGATATTTACAATCAAAACAAGAAAAGGATTAGACTGGAAGCAACCTAATGCTTATTGAAATCTTTTCCCAATGTACAATAAATATATGTGCTAAATAAGGCGAAATAAATTGTCGTTTGTTGACTAAGAAGGCTGATGTGTTACAACTTTCATCGAAAATGAATAAATAAATATAATATATATCAATTATTTAAAGAAAAGCAAAATAAGACTAGTAATGATAATAGTTTGATAAGTTCAGTTAGAAAGAAGAATGAGATAGAAAAAGAAGGAGAAAAAAAAAAAAAAATGACCTGTGATTTAACCCTTAATGATAGTTGAAAATTGTTGGAGAGTCAAAGCGATTCGATTTTTCAATATATTTATGAACTGCGAGGAATATTTTCTCATTATCTGAGTCTGTAAGTGTCGTGCTACCAAACAGAATGGTTTTTAGTGAAACATGACAGTATGTGCTTTTTTAAAAAGAGGACAGTTGAGAAAACAAGAGGGCCATGATGGCCCTGGATTGCTCCCCTGACCCATCAACCGCATCCCAGCAATGTCTTAGACAAGCATCCTGGCCAAGTTTGATGACAATTGAGTAAAACAAGAGGGCCATGATGGCCCTGAGGTCGCTCACCCCTGTATATAGCCCCCCCCCCCCCCCCCCCCCCCGGCCAATTTTTACCCAAGGGCTTTTATTTGAACAGACTTGGTAGACACCCATAAGAAGATGTTTCATGCTAAACATCTAAGTTCTAGCTCATTGGGTTTTTTAAAAGAAGATTTTTTAAGTTTTTACTATACACATATAGTTAAAAACAATGACACCCCTGGGGCAGGGCCAGTTTTGACCCCCGGGCTTTTATTTGAACAAACTTTGTAGATATTTACTTAAAGATGTTTCATGTATAATATCTAAACTCAAGCTATTTGGGTTTTTTCAAAGAAGATTTTTAAGTTTTTGGTATACACATATAAGGAAAATCAATGACCCCCGGGGCGGGGCCAGTTTTGACCCCAGGGCTTTTATTTGAACATAATTGGTAGACACCCATTAGAACATGTTTCATGCTAAATATCTTAGCTCTAGCTCTTTGAGTTCTTTAAAAGAAGATTTTTTAAGTTTTTACTATATGCATATAGGGAAAATCAATGACCCCCTGGGGCGGGGCCAATTTTGACCCTAGGGCTTTTATTTGAACAAACTTGGTAGACACTCATTAGAAGATGTTTCATGCTAAATATCTTAGCTCTAGCTCTTTGAGTTCTTTAAAAGAAGATTTTTTAAGTTTTTACTATATGCATATAGGGAAAATCTATGACCCCCTGGGACAGGGCCAATTTTGACCCCAGGGCTTTTATTTGAACAAACTTGGTAGACATTTACTAGAAGATGTTTCATGCCAAATATCTAAGCTCTAGCTCTTACGGTTCTTTAAAAGAAGATTTTTTAAGTTTTTTACTATATGCATATAGGGAAAATCAATGACCCCCCCGGCCGGGGCCAATTTTGACCCCAGGGCTTTTATTTCAACAAACTTGGTAGACACTCACTAGAAGATATTTCATGTCAAATATCTTAGCTCTAGCTCTTTGGGTTCTTTAAAAGAAGATTTTTTAAGTTTTTACTATATGCATATAGGGAAAATCTATGACCCCCTGGGGCAGGGCCAATTTTGACCCCAGGGCTTTTATTTGAACAAACTTGGTAGACACTCATTAGAAGATGTTTCATGCTAAATATCTTAGCTCTAGCTCTTTGGGTTCTTTAAAAGAAGATTTTTTAAGTTTTTACTATATGCATATAGGGAAAATCAATGACCCCCTGGGGCGGGGCCAATTTTGACCCCAGGGCTTTTATTTGAACAAACTTGGTAGACATTCACTAGAAGATGTTTCATGCCAAATATCTAAGCTCTAGCTTTTACAGTTCTTTAAAAGAAGATTTTTTAAGTTTTTACTATATGCATATAGGGAAAATCAATGACCCCCGGGCCGGGGCCAATTTTGACCCCAGGGCATTTATTTGAACAAACTTGGTAGACACTCACTAGAAGATGTTTCATGCCAAATATCTTAGCTCTAGCTCTTTGGGTTCTTTAAAAGAAGATTTTTTAAGTTTTTACTATATGCATATAGGGAAAATCTATGACCCCTCGGGCAGGGCCAATTTAGACCTCAGGGCTTTTATTTGAACAAACTTGGTAGACACTCATTAGAAGATATTTCATGCTAAATATCTTAGCTCTAGCTCTTTGGGTTCTTTAAAAGAAGATTTTTTAAGTTTTTACTATATGCATATAGGGAAAATCAATGACCCCCTGGGGCGGGGCCAATTTTGACCCAGGGCTTTTATTTGAACAAACTTGGTAGACATTCACTAAAAGATGTTTCATGCCAAATATCTAAGCTCTAGCTTTTACAGTTCTTTAAAAGAAGATTTTTTAAGTTTTTACTATATGCATATAGGGAAAATCAATGACCCCCTGGGGCGGGGCCAATTTTGACCCCAGGGCTTTTATTTGAACAAACTTGGTAGACATTCACTAGAAGATGTTTCATGCCAAATATCTAAGCTCTAGCTTTTACAGTTCTTTAAAAGAAGATTTTTTAAGTTTTTACTATATGCATATAGGGAAAATCAATGACCCCCCGGGCCGGGGCCAATTTTGACTCCAGGGCTTTTATTTGAACAAACTTGGTAGACACTCACTAGAAGATGTTTCATGCCAAATATCTTAGCTCTAGCTCTTTGGGTTCTTTAAAAGAAGATTTTATAAGTTTTTACTATATGCATATAGGGAAAATCAATGACCCCCTGGGGCGGGGCCAATTTTGACCCTAGGGCTTTTATTTGAACAAACTTGGTAGACACTCATTAGAAGATGTTTCATGCCAAATATCTAAGCTCTAGCTTTTACGGTTCTTTAAAAGAAGATATTTAAAGATTCTTCTTTCGGTTGCCATGGCAACCAGAGTTCTGCATGAAATGGAATTCTTTGAACAATCTTGATAGAGCTTCATACAAAGAGTATTCCTGCCAAGTTTCATTAACATTGGCCTTGCGGTATCATAGAAGATGTCCTTAGAATATTTAAAATGTGGACGGACGACGGACGCCATTTGGTTGGCCATCCAGTCTAAAAGCTCACCTGCACTTTGTGCAAGGTGAGCTAAAAATGTGACCTCTAGTGTGTTAAAAATTTTTTCCATATTTGGGCAATGCGACCTAATTTTTAACTGGAGAAGACCCATATTCAAACTTGACCTAGAAATCATCAAAACAACCTTTCTGACAAATTTCCTGAATATTTGGATCAAAACTGGAGCCACTACAGTGTTATAAAAAAAATTCTATTTTTAGCTTCTGTGACCTAGTTTTTGACCGGAGATGACCCATCTTTGAACTTGATCTAGAAATCATCAAAACAACCTTCCTGACAAATTTCTAGAATATCTGGATCAAAACTGCAGCTACTCAAAGAATGTAAACAAACTTTTCTATTTTTAGCTCCTGTGACCTAGTTTTTGACCGGAGATAACCCATCTTCAAACTTGACCTGGAAATTATCAAAACAAGCTTTCTGACAAATTTCCAGGATATTTGGATCAAAACTGCAGCCACTAGAGTGTTAACAAACTTTTTCTATTTTTAGCTCCTGTGACCTAATTTTTGACTGGAGATAACCCATCTTCGAACCTGACCTAGAAATCATCAAAACCACCTTCCTCACAAATTTCCAGAATATTTGGATCAAAACTGCAGCCAGTAGAGTGTTGAGAAGCTTTTTCTATTTTTAGCTCCTGTGACCTAGTTTTTGACCGCAGATGACCCATCTTCTAACTTTACTTAGAAATCATTAAAACAACCTTTCTGACAAATTTTCAGAATATTTGGATCAAAACTGAAGCCACTAGAGTGTTAACAAGCTTTTTCTATTTTTAGCTCCTGTGACCTAGTTTTTGACCGAAGATGACCCATCTTCGAATTTGACCTAGAAATCATTAAAACAACCTTCCTGACAAATTTCCAGAATATTTGGATCAAAACTGCAGCCAGTAGAGTGTTAGCAAGCTTTTTCTATTTTTTAGCTCCTTTGACCTAGTTTTTGACCGGAGATAACCCATCTTCGAACTTGACCTAGAAATCATTAAAATAACCTTCCTGACAAATTTCTAGAATATTTGGATCAAAACTGCAGCCAGTAGAGTGTTAACAAGCTTTTTCTATTTTTAGCTTCTGTGACCTAGTTTTTGACCAGAGATGACCGATCTTCGAACTTGATCTGTATTTCATTGAGACAAACATTCTGACAAAGTTTGACAATGATCCAATCAAAACTGTGACTGCTAGACTGTTAACAACCTAATTGTTGACGACAACGACGCTTGACACCGGATGCCGGACATAGCCCCATCACTATACCTCACCTTGACCACTTCGTGGTCAGGTTGTCGTATAGTTGATTGCACAGGTTAATTAGTCATACATGTTATATTCAAAAAGAATGACAACAAAAAGATCTTACAAGTGCATATTTTTATTTTGTAATGCGAACTGTAAAACATGACATTGATTTATGAATATTATAGTACAAGATACGTACAGACTGGGCTTAATAGTAATGGTGTGTCAAAATGATAGATAACGTATTTGGGAGTCGGCTGGGTTTCATAGCATTTTATGTGAAAGCTGTCACTAAATATATTGGGCTAGATGTTCAGTCTAGGGGGAGTTCCAATTTG